ACAAAGTGTACCTGGTCACAGGATTTACACATCACTGTGCCGCGCTAAGTGTTTGAATTTAGCGACACTTTGGGCCCTCCAAGCATCAATTGGCAAAAGTTCCATAGCTCGGGGGCTTGGACAAACAGGGTGGACGAGGCATTAGCGGTGCATGCAAGGCGCTGATCAAGCTTCAGTGGGTCCCGCCTTGACCGCCACAGGTGACCTTTTGGGATGGGACAGTCACCGTGCGGAAACTTGTACAGGATTACTTGCCTGAAGAAGAATCTTCGTCTGTCGATTCGAGACCACCACAGTGTCTGTAACCGCCTCTCATAGGGTAGATTGATTGCCCAGTCTGGTGTGTGTAGAGCCGTCTTCGACGATTTCCTTTGCACGGACTCGAGCCGCTTTTGGAGGTCGGCCTGGTGGGGGTTCCAGATGGTGGCACAGTATTCCAAGACTGGCAGTACGAGAGTTGTGTACAGCACGTAGAAGGCGTGGCGCGGAATGGCCCTTGACTTCCGGGTTATAAACCCTTTTAGCCTGTTTGCTCTTTTGCAGGCTTAGTCGACGTGTGATCTGAAAGACAGGCTTCGATCAAAACAAACGCAGAGAAGCTTAGTCTCGGTGACCTCCTGTAGATGCGTGCCGTGGGCCATGTAGGTCGCGTCGACCTATATTAGTTTTCAAAAATTCGTAGATACTGTGACCTGCCTAGATTGAGGAACAGGCCATTACAATCAGACCACCTGTAGATCTTGAGGAAATCGGAGTGCAAGATTCGCTGGTCATTAGTGGAGTGGATGGTGCGTTACAGTATATGGTCGTCAGCGTATCGTAAGACATTCGATTCCATGCCAGACGCTCGGTCGTTAATGTACAGGTTATACAGGAGCGGCCCAATCACGAATCCCTTTGGCATGCCCGCTTTAACATCGTGTCACTGACCAGAGGCACACTGACAGCGGACTCACTAGCGGCGATTTTTCAAAAAGTCTGTTATCCATTTCAAGGTCGTCCCAGGTATGCCAACGCCCGGGAGCTTGGTGATGATGAGGTTGTGGTTAACACTTTCAAATGCACTTGAGAAAGCTTGGGAAAGAACGGCAGCTTTTTGGAGCTGTTGCGGGCATCACTCAGGTCATGGTGCAGGACGGAAAGCAAAGTTTCACAACTCCGTCCTTTCCCGAAGCCGTGTTGGGTGTTGCAGACGAGATTGTTCGATTCAAGGTGCTCGGTAAATTTGCTACAAATGAGACTAAAACTTTTGCAAAGGTTGGACGTGAGGCTAATTGGTGGGTTGTTTAAAAGACCGTTCAAGGGTTTATCTGACCCTTTGTGGACGAGGATCATGTGTGCCAGTTTCCACACCTGAGGGACGAGGGCCCGGGAAAACGTGTAGTTGTACACACTGGCCAGAGGAGGGTAGCGAGCAGAAGCACAGGCCTTAAGTAGTGGTGGCGGTATGCCATCTGGACCGGGTGAGGCACTGCTCTTCAGTTTAGAAATGGCGGATTCAACCTCGTCTGCTTTCACAAAGGGATGATCGAACATAGGAATGGCCTGCGTGTGAGCTAGCTGGTCTGCTGAGTGGCTGCCCCCATGCGGAGTGGGGCACGGGTTGCTGAAAGTGGGCACTGCCTTGCTGAAGTATTCGCCAAAGGAGTTCGCAATGTCCTGTGGATTGTCAGAGAAGCCACGTTCAAGGTGGGGTTGGGTAGCGGTACTCTTCCTCTGCTGGGAGCCGATGAACTGCCAGAACATCTTGGTGCACGTTCTGGCCTGGCACGCGATGTCACAAAGGTATCAGGACACAAAGGTGTCCTTGGTAGGACACAAAGGTATCTTTAGTAGGAGAGTTTTGAGTATGCAGAGTCCTTGCAGGTTGCCCAGAGCATGTCGTAGGATAAGTCCCAAGATTTGTAGTCGGTCAGAAAATTTTTGCATAGGAACCAGGGAGCTGAGGCCACCGAGCGTTCCAGTGTTTTACGTCCGTCCCTGTTGAACAGAAGAATCTGCTTCGGGACAAATTAAAAGTTTTCCTGTACAGCGAAAGTGCGACACAGATGAGATCCCCGTGTGGTCGGAGTTTGATAGGGGTGGTGCGTCCAATACCGATTGTAGCTGAACCGGGTTCCGGCAAAGCACAAGGTCTATGGTGTGATTGAGGTTGTCGCCATGAATGTGCGTTGAAAAGCGGACAACCTGCGTCAGGTTCGCATAGTGCATTCAGTCCAAGAACGTTGCCTCTATCTCATTTGTTCGCGCCGGGACCGCGTAGTTCCCGTAAATAAGAAGGTTGAAGTCACCAGTCAGTAAGACGTTCATGAAGTGGTCATCCTGAGAGCTGATTCTGTCGAACACCTCACAGAGCTCGAAAAAGACACCATGCCCTGAGGTTGGGGGCCTGCAGAGTGAGCCGAGCGGCAGTTTTTCGCCGCGGCAGTTGAGTTGCATCCATACCGATTCGGAATTGGGGCTTTCAGGGTCTGCGCGGTGCGTTTGGGAAAATTCGTGCTTTACAGGAATCAAAACACCGCCTCCACAGCAATCTTTTCTAAATACCGCGTATTCAGGAGCAAATATTTCGTGATCCCAGACGGTGTCACCGAGCCGCGTTTCACACACACACGCGGCGTCTGCTGGATTGCAGCTCAGGTCGGACTGCAGTTCAGTGATCTTGTTTAGAAGACTTCGTGCATTTTAGTACTGCAGGGGGAACAGCACGGAGTTGCAGTAGATATTTCCGGAGAGCGGAAGGAGTCCAACCAGCACAATATTTAAAACCGTGTAGGGGTTGTAGCGTGTAGGCTTAGCGAGCCGGGGTGGGCTTTTGCCGTAGCAGTCTCGGCCGGTTGACCGGAGCTCACCTCGCAAGTCTGCTGCTTTCTCCTCAGAGACTGTCGTTTTCCGGCAGCGGCTGAGCAGAAAGAAAGCGCAAAACACGGCAAAAATTACGGGAGCCCAGTGCCGCTGTTTCTGGCTGCGACTGATGGCGGTCATGTTACCCTAGAAATTCATAGATAACAAGGTCCATACTTCTGGATTTATTACGTCAAACACAGGGGCCAGTGCTCGAAACAGATCTGACACGACTTTAGCGTCAGCCCTCGGCTGGGACAAGTGTTAAATCTCTATACCCGAGTTGGCCCCCGGTAAGTCACGTAAATATCCAGCATTGCGGCCTTGTTATGTGTTTAAATGATACATGCCGCGACCATCAATCAAAGCTAGATAGGTAGATCTATTCCCGTTAATACCGACCGGAGAAAAATAAAGAAAACAGACAAGGAGAGCAGAAAGTATAAAATCGCGCTAGGCAGTTACGATCTCCAATAAGCTTAGAGAAATCGGTGCTTCATCACACCTAACAATGGCAACGTTTAAGAAACTTAAGATAGCGAAGGCAGTTCGCCAGAAAACTAGGTGATTGTGGTACCGGTCGCTGCTACCACTATTACAACTTAAAAAAAAAATTTTGGGTAGTTTTGAATTTGGCAATGCATAGTTAAAGCTACCACTCCCCTAAAAACTGGCTTTTCATCTTTATATAATGGCGAATTCCACTCGTCGTTTTAAGCGCTCTGAAATCGACTTTTTTGGAGCGCGCGTCCACAACTGGTCGTTTGGGATCAACCCGGATATATTTTGCTCGTCGTTTTGGAGCAGCACCGACTCCTGATCTCAGTTCGGAGCGCCAAGATCTCAATCTGCGATTTTCTTGGCGCCGAGCGGAACCAATACCTCCGAGAGGGCACGTGACTTTCTACCTCACCGAGCATGACGGGAACGGAGCTAGGGCATCCGACGGTGGCTCGGAGCGTGCAGACGCTTTCTGGAAATGACGAGAGCCCAGAGCATTGGGAAATGCCGGGAAGACAGTCAGCCACTCCTGAATAAAAAAAAAACAATCGCGCCCCCCCCCCCCCCCCCTCCCTCCCCTCAACCCCCTATCCTCACAAATACTTTCTACGCCACTGAACTAAGAACATTGAGAGCTTCCGAGCTAGTGTTTGCCGTTTTGCGGTACTTTTCTTGCCAGAGTAAAAACACGTTGCCTAATCATACCCACCCAATAAAGTTAAATGTTTGAATGTTGCTATCTTGTAGCGTACATTGCAATATAGGCGCGGCATACAGAGCCAGACACTGCCGCAACGAACAAACGAAAACCGTCTCTGGACAGTAAGTAAACTAAGTAGTATCAGAAAGGCCGGTAAGTCGAGACTGGGTGACCTTCGACAGTCCTTGGCTAACCGGAAGAACCTTGGCTAACCGGCCGCCTTAGAAGAACGAGGTCGCGCGATGAAGCGATTACTCACCGCGTCTCATTTTAGACATACACTGTAGACAGGTTCCGTCTCAGACTCGCGGCACGCGTTTTCAAAACGCTCTTGATGAGTTTGCACATATGATTTGTATTTATGTCTCACGTGTTAGTGAACTAGCAAGCAAAGCAGCATTCGCAGAATTGAATCACGTTTCAGAGACGTCGATCTAGCACAAGTTTGCACATTGACATAGGCTTGTATTAGCCTGCTGATTTTGTTGTGCTAATTTTAATCCTATTAATATAGAGACATCTAGAATATGCAAAAATCATACGAGGCGATTGCGTCTGTCTCTTTTTGAACAAGAAACGAGGTAGAAATATTTCACAACTGTTACAGTTCAAAGCTCCGACTGAAACCAAAAATCTGTTTGAGATAGTAGACTCTGAGGCCCAGATCCCACAGCTTGTTCTGTTCCGTTAGAAGTTTCCATTATTTTGGGAGGAAACTTGCATTGAATTGGAGAACTGTTCCTTTACTGTATTACTTTTTAAGCGAATTTCTAGGTACAAGCTACTGCCAAAAGTCGGCCATATAAGATGCATTTTTTTTTTTTTATGTTTCACAACACTAGAACGGGGCATAATAAAAACAGGGCTCCAAAGACATATTGCAACAGAGGAGTCATTTCCCACTCGTACAATTTCTAACCTTAACAACATTATCACGTCGAGCGCAGGTAACTCGTTGCAGGGGTGTATAAACTTTATTTTATATAGAAAAACGAGCTCTTCGCTGCGCTCGGATCAATACAAAAAAGCCGAAGTTTGCACAAAGGTGTCAGAATTAGATGCATACCTCCGCGTTATATTAATGCAAGATTATAAAGGCACACATCCTATTAGTAGGACACTGCTATCAATTCACGTTAATTCTTTAAAGGCCGTGTACAAATAAAACAGTCTCCAGGACCCTTCCAAAAGCACTGTCGTCAGTTGGGAGTTGGTGCAGGGAGTTTCCAGATTTAGAGACCAACGTCATAGTCGGTGTTTCCCTCCAGGACGCCCCTTGTATAATCAACCAGGTGGTCCTCGAGTTTAAGCGCCATGACCGCACCGTCTTTCTTCATGGCTTCCATCCACTGTACGAGAAGTGGGAATTCCCGAGACGTTGGAAACTTCAGCTCTGGGAAAATAATGCTGAAAGTCGAAGCCTTTGGGAAAAATGGCCAGATCATGTAGTCAACGAAGCCAGGCTGGTTTCCTAGAAGCGGGCAGAAAGACAGCATAAATTGGGGTACCCCATGGGCCGGTAGTCTGTTTAAAAAACCAGCCCTCAAACATTTCGATTCTACGCTATAAAACAGCCTCTGAAAAAGCTAGCGCACAACTCAATCAGTTTGTTAGCAAAGGCAACGTTCTGCGAGAATTTGTGTTATAAAATCATCAAGCTCTTCGAAGTTTGTATGACGTGAACATCAACAGTGGAATTCAGTAATACAAATATATAAAAAAGCTTTTTTTTTAGTTTGTAGAAACAATATATTCAGATCATCAAGGAGGCCTAAGATCAAATGAACACTAAACCTTTAAAAGCAATGCTGCGATTTCACACTTCTGCATTTTGCCTGACGACTAGCGAGATCAATTTTATTTTAGAGTTACTGCAGATCGATTAAAAAAGCAAGGGAGGTCTGTGCCACTCATATTTACGAACAAAATGTTACCGGCCATAAACTGACAGGTTTGACTTTCTATTTATTTTTCACTCCTCTCTTTGTAGCAATCTATCTTAACTGATTATCAAAGCAATTTATTGGTTGTGTTCCGTCATTTAGATCCTATGCCCATGCAACAGTAAGAAAGTATGTTAAAAAGAAATAAAGACTAAGAATGTTTGGGAGCTGTTACAGTCGAGCTATCATAAATTCTGTATTCTATTGAAACATCTCGAAAAAAACATTTATGGATTCCTTAGACGAAGCAATACTAAGCAAAGTTCCCTCTCTCTATATATATATATATGTATTCCGAATATTTTTAATACCCTTCATAGTCACTCTTCCTTTTCCACACGCACATCAACAAGAAGACATTTCACACACCATCCCATCCTGAAGAAATGAGGATATGTTCAGGATCTCCACTCTCGAAGTGGTGTTAATCCCGAACATATCCTCATTGCTACTTTTGCGTGCGCTCAGTTGCACGGGGGTGATTGTGCTGAAGAGCTGTAACAAAGACTGTGAAAAATGCTACAAATCAATTTATTTAGTTTTAATGATTTGGATTAACATTGTTTATAATGACTAATTTCAAAGATTTACGATATTTTTGTTGCTCCTGTTCCGAATATTTTTAATACCCTTCATAGTCACTCTTCCTCTTCCACACGAACATCAACCAGAAGAAGAGGACATTTCACACACCATCCCACCCTGAAGAAAAGCGGTCCCCACTTGAAACGTTGGTGCAGTAAAGGCCTTTCCTGGAACTCCTCAACTTTCGTTATATATATAGAGAGAGAGGGAGAGAGAGAGTTGAAATGTATATATCACCTCTATATATATATGCAGAGATGATTATATATACTATATATAAGCATCTCTGCATTTATTTTAGCACTCTAAACATGCATGTCAGAGTGCAGGTGTTTTAATAAATGGCAATGAGTGATAAAATTAATAGAGGAACCTCAGAGCAGCACGCTTGATGGATAAATACCAAATATACTTTTCGGAAGCATTTACTGCACATTACATACCTGAGAAGAATGGGCTCTTTCGTTCCTTCAGTTCATCTTCGAACAAGTTAAGTTTTCCTCGAAACTCGGCCCAGAGCTCATCCTTACTGTCTTTATTATGATGAATCTTCAGCATCGGCATCACAGCCTAAATGGAAGTCCGAAAAGCACCAGTTCTACATTACAGGCACTGGCTGGCACAACGGCTTTCTACAGTTATATCAAGACATATCTGTGTAACCAATCATGAGCTTTACAACTTACCGCTGTAGCTGCTTCCACAAATAGCTTGTCCTTAGCCTTGATGTAAGGATCGGTAGATATCAACCTTGTTTTGCCGTAGGCCTCATCCAAATACTCGGACACAACCAGAGATTCATACAGGATCTTATCATCCTGCTGGAGAATTGGCACTTTCCCAGCTGGATTTAGCTTGAAGTGCCACTCCGGCTTGTTCTTCAAGTCTAGGTTAATGATTTCATGCCTAAAAGATGCAAAGGTATAGCATCAGGAAAGTTCTATTTAGTAAACATGCCACAACCCCATGTCTATAAAGAGGGTGAGTAGGTTCGCAAATGCTTAACGAGCTCAACAAATGTAAAGCTTGCATAACACCGAATACTCGATTTCTACTTACTATCAATATATATCAATATATCGCCTAAAAAGAAGCTGTGAGTATATTACACAACAATGACTACTATGGGTATTCAAGGGAGATTGTGACTAGAACATTGAGTGGGAATCAGAATGATGAAAAGTTGCAGACTATAGAATACGCAGCGTCCAAAATTAGAAGTTGTTTTAAAACATAGGTACGGTCAATTTCTAAAACTCTCTGAGACACTAGGTAAAATAAATTAAATACAAATTAAAACCGAGCTGATCAACTTGCTGGATATTTATTTTATATATTAATTACACTTCCTCCGGATGACACTTACAGCAAAAGCTAGAATCCAGATAGCAAAAACAGGGCCGAGAACCGAACGTTTATAATGACATGAACCTTATAAAGGCTCCCAACATCTCAACTGTAATACAGAGTATTTTGCATTAAAAATTGATAGAATAAAAATATAGACAAGGCGTGCTTTATTGGTTTTAATTCAGACGATTCACCAACAGAACTAATAAAATGTTAAGATTATTTGTCGCTGAAAAGCGACAGCTTCGTTATGTACAAAACATGTAGAAAACATTTAGGCCAATGCTCCGAGCTTCTGCAGTACACCGACTATTCGCCCCATGAAAGATCCTCAAATGCCCCAAGTATAGCCTCTTATAGACCGGTGTCTGCTCTGTTCCTTCGGCGCCGCCATGTTTGTTTTTGCTGACGCCATGACACAATAGGGGAACTGCGCTTTTTGAAAGACTTCGCTTTTTTTTTTTCTTTATAGAAACGTTCGCACGTGTCGTAGTGCAAGAACGTCAAAAATGCGTCGTCACGAAGCTCCAAGAACAACACCGATGCCAAGAACGGTGTAGAAAGAGGAAATCTGGTTTTATGCGCAGCCCCTTTTCTTCAAAGAGCCTGCCGTTTGAGATTATTCTTTCCAATTTTTATCGCGGTGGGCTAGGATTTCGGACACTGGTCTATAGACTGGAAAGCCCGTCAAATTTACGACGGAACAATCGAGCACCCCGTCGCCGGAGAAGAGAAAGTAGAAGCGGCAGGACGGCGAACGCAATGGTAGCGTAGGAGGTGACCTCTCCTCAGTGCCAGCGGACCTTGCGGCCTCTCCACAAAACGCCATTTGTATTTCTTTTTTCTCTTTCGCTTTTTTCTCCTTCGAAACCTGTCCAGTTCTCCCTTCGTTTTTAAACACTTTTTTTGCGTATTACATTATGATGCAAAAGCAACTAGCCCAACTAGCGATCCTAATCCATGTCATTATCCTCCTATCAAAAAAAAAAAAAAAAAAGAACAGGACTGTTTTTGGATTTGACCACTCGCGCTGTGGTGGCGCCATGAGGGGTCCCCTCCAGGACGCTCTGGAGATCTCCTTTCACCACCTCTCCTCTCCCTTTTTTCTTGACCGCTTTCCGTTGGGTTCTCACAGGAATATTAGTATATAGGAGGCTATGCCTCAAGTAATGTAATAAAAAATATGTACTATTAAGGATATAAACGTAAAGACGATAGACCCTACCATGAGCTATTGATTAAACTTGTTTTTATCTGCCAAGTCTCATCAGTCAATCAATAGCACCACTTCGGTTGGCTGTACAGCCCTTATAATCAAGACTGCTCAACACTGCAGCATGCTACGCAGATGAAAACCAATAGGAAGCTTTTGTATCTCGTAAAGCTCAAAAGACCGCTTTCCAGATACTGACTCTGTACCAGGGCCAAACGTGTGCCCATATTTATTATACTTTCCTCAATCTTTCCTACACCGTTGCAAAAAAAAAAAAAAAGTAAATTTATTTTGGCGCGAGGACACCAAAATCAATATAAAAAGCTCTAGCGGGCACTTCGGTCACCTTTAAGAATGCAAACGACATAAGTGATATGAGGGACACAGGAATGGTCACATGGGAGGCATGGTTTTCTCTAGTCTTCTTTTCATGAACTAGAAATAACATTGTATCCTGAAATTCGGCTTTTAACTAGCATTCTAACTTTGCATATCACAGTTTTCGAGTAAATGCGAAATTAATCATATTTTATCGGCCAGAATTTTCGGATGCTTTCGGTTTGATCTGAAAACTCGGAACCCTAGCAATATTGCATCCAACTATCAGGCTCTCTACCCTAGTTGGCTGCGCGCTCGCGCACCAGCTGTACACTCCACCTGACCTGATGTTTTTAACGGCACTTTATTCCAGAACATTCTGAATGGAAATTTGTCAAACGCTGGGAGGCTACAAAAAGGTCATAGTCGATCAAGGAGGGTAGTAAATATGCATATCGCCGCCAAAGCCGGTTGCAGATTTGGCATTTCATTGTGGGCACAAGTTCGCATTAATAAATTATTGTTCTTCGATCTAGGCTTGACCTACTAGCCATTCGCTACACTGAGGGGAAGCTACAGCTAACATGAGGTTCTAATCATCACTGTTTTCTACTCTACTGCATAGTACTTACGAGCAAGCCTGGGGTAATTACGGTAGCTAGGCAGTCGATACAGTGTAGGCAAATACGAACAACAATATTTGGAAATACAAATACCGAATATGTTAAAATGGCAGCTAAACTGCAAATAGTGAAATAAATCTGTGTAAATGTCAGGATACATATTAAAGTGCACTTGCAAAGCAAACAAAAGTCTGAATGAAAATAAAGATACACGAACATATACTAGCAGTTGAAATACTAGCACTCAAATATATATGTACAGTCAGCACAGAATGAAACCCGAACGCCGGAATGCGGCCATCCACACAGGCTGCTCCACCTAGAGGGCCCCTGAGAACTAATGAAAATGCGCCGGGGTGCGAGGGTGCGGGTCCTACTAAGATGTGCTCGACCCTCGCGCGGCGCGTCTGCGCCTTCCGCGTTTCGCCGGTGGCGCGCTGTAAGCGCCGTTTCTCGGGGTTCTTTTGTGTCGCCGCACTGTCGCCCGGTACAAATGTACAAAATACATTTGTAATTCTTAATATTCTTGTTGTTGCGTCGCAATCAAAATTGAAGGCATCCGTATAAAAAGCAGCATCAACTGCATACTGTAAGGCGGCCTAAGGCCCCATATTGCCCTTTACGGCGCGGAGACAGGTCGCCTCATTCGTAAATTCAAATTGCTAATTCTGGAAAAAAAAGAATATATATATATATACAGCTTTGCGGTTTTACGGCTCATAGGACAAGTCTAGAAATAAATTATTTCGTCTCGTTTCCCCAAGAATCACATGAGGATTAACCAATCGGGAATTTATCCTCAGTCTACTCACGTTTCGGGGTAACGTGACACTTAGGCCCCTATTTGTATTCCGATAACAGGCATCGTCAGAGATAAAAGCGGGGTATCGATGGTCTCTAGAAAATTCGCTTGGCGCTTTTCTGATCAGCTCGATTCAGGCAAATATGCCCCTTCACAAACCAGCGCGTAAAAACGAATATATGGCTCATTAGGTGGCAGATGCTAAGGGAAGGTCCGAATGTCGTAACCCCCCCCCCCCTCCCCCCCTCTTTCTTGAATTTCCTGGGCTGGCATGTTCACAGGGATGGACAGTATTTCAAATGCAAGTATTTGAATACGTATTTAAATTACTTTGTGTATTTTGCATTTATTTTTAATTAAAAATTGGGTAATGTGTTTGATGAGTGTATTTAAATACTAAAACGTGGGTATTTCAAATACAATTGTAATTAAATACAATTTTGTGGACGAAAATGCATCTCTCAGATTTATTGTCACTGTCCAGAGCAGGAAGAAAACTATGTTCTGCACCGAATGCAGTGTCTCTCAATCAAGCACAAGCGTTTAGTGACTTTGTGATTACGGTGCTAGTCCAGGGCAAGAATAGTGACGAAATCGACGTTCACAGGCAGACTGGCTAAATAAGTGCCTGTGACAACTTGTGATGCTTTCCAGCCTGATGACCATCCATATTTTTGCATGAAACATTCTAAATGCGCGGGTCGTCCAGATTTTCGCAACTGGTGCGAGTTGCAACAATAAAAACATTCTCTAGCTAGTGCTGCGCGTCTTGGTCGTCTCGGTTCTTTGTTGGTATACACCAAAATGTAATCGACAAAAAAAGCTGTTTGAAGCTCTGTACTTCTTTCACCTATTATGTCCAAGCTGATTACATTTTCATTTGTGATTATATTTCTATTACTTTACTACGGCCTCGCACACTAACTCCCGAGTGTGCGATGCAAAATTAAAATGAGATACCCAGAAACCCGTTGCAGGCAGGGTGTCGAACCGGAACCGAACCGAACCGAAAACCGGAACAGAACCGTTATTTTTAGCCGAACCGGAACTGAACGAACCGAAATCTTCGCCGCCATCTTGGAACTGAACCGGAACGGAACCGGAAAAAAAATATAACGGTAACCGGTTCAAAACGGTTCACGGTAATTTTTTTTGTTAGTATTACAAATTTATTATTTGGGAATAAAAAATTGGCACGTGAATTCCTCTAAGTATTGATCAAATCGTCATATACAGAATTCCAATGTATAATAAATCCTGGTTTTTTGCGGCGCTTTCTTATTGGCACTATGAATAGCCATGTGTCACATCGTCACGTGACGTCATAATGTCAAGACATGCTGTCAAGTAATGTCACATCACGTGACCCCGTGACGTCCCGTGACTCACCGCGTAAAGTCGATTCAAATTGAGGACGTCGCTAGATCTATTAACGTTGTTGATACCGTGACGTCACATGACATCACAACTTCGCACTGAGAGTCCCGTGACACCATGATGTACCCGATTTTCATGATCCCGAGTCAAATGCTCTGGTTCATGACAACCAGTATCGCCAAACATTCGGGTAACGGCTCGTGTTCAACTGAAAGATTATGGTGGGCCCGGGTCCCACTAGAGCTAGAAGCAGAAGCAAACGAAAGCGACAAGCCTCAGACACATGCAGCATGTTTGCGATGGTACCTTTATACGGCTTTGAGTTGTTCGGTGCTCGCGAAGTTTGCACGAGTGTTTACAAGCCTGCAAATGGTACCATCGTGTGCATGATACTCGTGTTTGAGCATAGCCTTCTTTATTCTACAAAGCCTGTCAAATCGCGAAATACTCTGGTTTAAGGCTAGCCGCTGTCGTTTGTTTCTGTTTGTCGCTTTAGTGGGGCTCGGGCCCCATTATAGCCCAACTAAAACTATATCTGAAGATTAGCCCATGCTTCACTTTGCCAACCCTGCGTATGACTATGATAAACACTGACGCTGCATATATTAGGGTCAGATCACGTGGCTGATAGTTCTAATTGCGATTTGAGGAGGGGAAAGCTGTTTCATTTCTTTCTTTCGACTGTCTCTCATTTCTCGGAGGAACAAACTAATGGATGCTTTTGCAAGTTATCAACGTCAGGGATTACAACCTGGCGGTATTTATTGAACTGAAGGTAAAAAAAATGCTGCACGGCCCATTTTACATGTATGCACACCATTGAGGCTCCCAAACATGTTTTCGTTATTGCTGAACTGCCTCAGAAAGTTGTACCGAGAATAGAAGTGTTAAAGGGTCTAAATGTGACGTATTAGTCCGACGTTACATGGAACTATTAGTGTGTACGTGAGGGATAGCTGAAAAGAAAGATCCTAGTGGTCTCACGGGGATAGCCACACGTTGGCAGCCGCTCTAAGTCTCACAGGAGTGTCGTTCTCAAGTTCTCCAAGTTTTGACCGCCCTGTATTTTGTTTAACCTTCACAGTTTGGTGCAAAGTAAAAGCAAGGAAGAATTACTGTTAACGAGTGACACAAATATAATTGTCGAGTGAACACCACTCAATACGGAGCAGGCAATCCCTGAGGAATAAAAAGTATTTTGAGAAGAAACTAAAAAAAAAGGGAGTGGGGAAGGGGGTAGGTTTAAAGCATACTGTGTCGTAAAGATTCCTCTACCGCGCACTTTCGGCGCAGACTAGAAAGCGTGGCCTGGAAACGATAGTGACAGATGGGTAGTTGGTACAACTTTTATTTGTAAAAACACTCTTGCCAGAAAGAACGTTTTCGCCGCGCCAGATACTCGCGCCGTGTCTAACGACGATGCACCAACAAGAAAAATGTGTGCCTCTCAAATACATAGCTTGCACTGAGCGCGAAAATTTTGCAGCGTGCATTTTGCCCCATCGGATTTGATATTCTCAGCAAGAACAACTCGCAATGACAACCAGTATCTAGTGCGATTACGTCACGTGCAAACCATGTTAAATACTTCAGCTTTCTGGTGAAGTGCGACGTTCGCAAAAAAGGTGTAAAGTTGTGTAGTATTTATAGCAGTCTCGCGATGATATACGGCAGCCTAATGAAATGTTGCAGCACGTACATGACTGATAAAGAACAGAGTCGTGAAGTAAGGTCCCAAAACAAGTGCACGTAAAACCTAAGATAACATTAATAGTATCTCGCGACGTTTCGAGCTGAGGCAAGCTGATGCCCAAAAGTGACTTATATTAGGATTCTAAAAATCTTCATTTGCCCTGCGAGGAATCTATGTTTAATTAGGAATATCATTTTATGCATTTCTATGCATCTCTTTTTGCAGTAAAGCGTTGTGTAAGGGATTATTTAGAAAAAATTGCGTGTCATCTCCTTATTTCTGCACATTTCGTGTATTTGCCTTGCGATATATCATGTGACCACAGTGTTTTTTGGCATTCCCTGCAACCCAGTATTTTACACTGCAAAACACCTAACAAAAGCACGTTGCCGAAGACTCAACAGCTGGCGTATTTTCGAGTATCGTCTTTCCGTGTCGGTTTCAGGCGGTTATGTGAACTTCATGAAGTCAAATTTATCGATGATAATACAAATATACTTAATTCCTGTCAAGATTTGGCAGCATAAATAGAAGATCCTCAAAGATATATAAGTAAATGCACTTTTAAATTATCTGAAAGGTGTTCTGCAAATCTTTTTCGGCGCTTTTATCCTCTATAGACACGTTATAGGTGATTTGGAAAAGCTTTAAATAATGTTGTTGTTTTTTTTATTTTGAAGCTAATTTAAATAACTATATGTGTTCCTCACGCATATATAACTTCTCAAATATATAGAAGTTTATTATTGCGTTTTTTATATGTTTTTATTATCGCCTTTTTTTACTGGAACGAATGATGGAACTATGACGATTGCACACTTAAACTCTCAGAAAGTGTCCAATTAAGTAGCTTCCGAATTGAGTAGAGCATGAAATTCCACTTTGTTCTATTTGACAAAAATCATCAATTAGAGAGGGTGATGCTTATTTGCAAATTAAATTGACCGGCATTTTGTCAAGAGCAAACCTCAGAACCAGGCTATGCCAGTTTATCCAATATAGAAAATGTTCGCATGGGTAAGCACTGTTTTAGGTCAGATTCGATCTCAGTACGAAGGTGCTCATAGGTTAGAGTGAACAATTTCAGCCACTCCTTTTCGCATGATTCGCCGCCCGCATCATGGTGCTGAGAGCAAACAATGCTAGTTAGAAAAAACAAGCATTGCGATTGTCGCTTAGTGTTTTTATAAAATATAGAGTGGAAGGACTTGTCCCGTGACTTTCGTGACATTTTTAAAATTATATTGCCTTAAGATCAGTCGTCTCGTCGTCATATATATATTGTGAAACGTATTCCGTAAAACACATTTTATGGTATATATGGCGACGAGGTGCCCATTTCATGATTTTATTCACTGTAATTAATTTCTTAGTTCAAGGGCAAAACCACGATTCAACATCTAATACTGCGATACAAAGTTGTACCTGTCACGGGTATTTTAGGAAACCTACTTCACTTCGCGAAAACATTTCGATTCAGGTACAATGTATGTGACTCTGGTAAACGAAGGGAGGTTGAGTCGTATAAACACGACGTTTGGTATGTTAATGGAGATTTTCCTTTCTTGTTGTGTAGGTATAAATAACAGAATTTTATCATTTTTGTACCTGAAAATAAAACTGGATTGAACAAACGATAAGAAAAAGAAACGTAAACTACTTATTTTTCGTGGGCTCAATATTTCGCGATTTAGGTCAAAGCTAAAGTTTTGGAATAATTCGTGGGTTGTAATTTTCTCGACGCGGTGGAATCTCACTATAAATTTCAATCTGTTTACATTTTACCGAAATTGTTCGCGGGACCCATCTTTCGCGAATCGTAGGCGATTCGCGAAATTTTCAAAAATAGGTCCTCGCAAAAATCAGATTGTTTACAGCAGTTAGTTTCATGGCCTAAATAGTGCCCATTGACAGAACAACGCAGAAAATATATTCTCAATTTAGCGGTTCAAACCGGTTCGAACCGGTTTGAACCGTTATTTTTGCGCCCCGGAACTGAACCGGAACTGAACCGAAAGCCGTGAACCCGAACCCGAACCGAACCGATAAAAATATCGGTTCGACACTCTGGTTGCAGGTGCCCTGAAGTCGCTGACGCAAATTTTGAGGAATGTATTTGGAAAATTATTTGTAGGAGACCAAATACATTTGGTAGTATTTGTATCTTGTACTTAAATGCTTTTTTGTAAATGTAATTAGATTTGTAAATAAATACATTTTTGACGAAGTATTTTGTATTTGTATTTCTATACATATTTGCATGTATTTTGCCCATCCATGCACGTGCAAAAATTTATAAGGAAAAAAAAGGGGGGAGGGTGTCTTCGACATCTCATATGCTGAACCTCCTCCTCCTCCTCCTCCTCCTCCCCCTCCTTTGACAACACCTGCATCCGCCCCTGGGCTCATCCACGATAGCATGCGCACTTATGGGAGGCGAAAGCCACGTTTTAATCCAAGTTGACTTACGGAATATTTTTCGCCTGGAGTACAAGAAGAGATCTGTGGCAGAACGGGCAGAACCGCATGCTGTAGATTCGAAGTTTCCCGGCCACCAAGGGCGGGCATTCCATTCCTGCACGAAAAAAAGAAAAGGCTTTTTGAACAGCATGATGACGCAAAAAAAAGCAATGTAAAAGGAAAATGTTTCCACCCAGCACGACACAGCTGTCGCGTAGCAAGACAGGCAGCTTATGGGGCTTCGGCCCTAAACTACACACACACACACACACACACATTCATATTAAACCCTCCACCACCTCCACCTCCACCTCCACCCCCCCCCCCTCCCCCCCCCCCCGAAAAAAATTCTTGGCTACGCCATTACGATCCAGTGCCACGCGCCAATGCGGAAAGGCGAACGCCACCCTTGGCTGTCAAAACAGCACAATGCAAAAATGTGCGACCGGCGTCGCTTCAGATTTTAGCGGGCATGACGTGTTCACTTACCAGCTCTGTAAGCCTTGAGCGTCATTGTTCTCCTGAAAAGGTTACGTAACTGGTTCAGCCTGATGATGAGATGTCGAGGAACTGTCAGCACTAATCCGAAATGCGAGTTTTCTGCGGCACGGCGAGCTGACAAACACCGAACAACCACACGAACGCCGACGACTGCCGCGAAGTGTGCGAACGCGCCGGGTGCGTCCGAGAGGGGTGTTGTATCGTCCTCAAATCTTCAACTAGATGGCGCCACGAGCGCGACGCCTCGATAGAGGGCCGCACCTAGAGAGCCGAGTGCGTTCAACTCAAACCATGGAGAGCGTTTGCAGTTTAATGACGGCGCCAGGAGATGGCGGGATATACATTTTTGTTTTCGCGTTTAAAAAATGCTTATCATATCGGAACAAAAATGTTGTCTATAGAAAAGTGTCATTCTATTCTTCGAGTAAAATCTTCAAGCATATCCAGGGCTGTTTGCAACCGAATTTATGTTGAAAAACCACCGGCAGCCCTATAGACAGTAGACACACAGCAACAATTTGCAATTTAATGGCGCCCCTAAGCACTTACCCCGATCCAGCAGTTGAACGCACTCTTGCTGGAGGCTCTCTAGCCGCACCTGTAGTGCCCGTAGATTGCGAGGTTGCAAAGGTAGCATATGCATATCCGTTCTTTGCCTGTGTATGCGCGCGTGTGCGTGTGCATGTGTGCGTGTGTGCTTGTGCGTGCGAGCGTGTGCGTGTATGTCTGTGTTTTGAACTTTGAACTTTGAACTTTGAACTTTATTTCAGCAACATTATGCCGAGGACACCGGACAAAAAGCTAACAGAAATTAACTTTTTGTATAGGGGGATAGGGCCAGTAATGTAACGCGCTTATCGTGTTATTATTCGAAACATGGACTTCAAACAAGTTCTGACCTGTCTCTCAGATGATCGCAGTCACCGCCATTGATGTGATCCCCAATGTCGAGTGAATAATCACTCAGCAAGCGTCATGCCAGACGTTAGAGTGTTAACCTGTGAGAACAATCGATGGCGGTGGAACGTGCCTCAAGGGAGATGTGCCGTCTTCCTTTGTTTCTAAAGTCTCCGGTCGAGAAGAAATGTCGGGAGACATGCATCAAGGGTGACGGGAATGAAAGAGATAAAAGGTGTTCAATCGATTTCCAACCTCGACTTAGGAAGCCCACTCCGCCTCGAGTCCTACAAATACAAATCAAACTGCCCATAGAGTCGTAAGAACTAATGCCACCCTCTCAAATTACAGCTACAAGGCCACGTTATACATGGTCAATGCTAACTGAGAGTATTACAGGCCAATAACGAGTTGTGTAAGGTAGCCACCAGTGCTGTTGATCATATTAGGGTTGCGCCTATCGTCAACCGTTTCCACCATCATTTGCCCTTGGTCATGGATGAGATGCGCATCATGTGACACATACGCCACACCCCACGGCAAGAAATGAGGGGTAGTTGGGAAGATGCAGCTGGCCGCAACTGCTAGCTTCGGGGACGTCGAGAGAAACGTCCTTGATAAAAGAAGTCACCAGCCTTAAAATGCGCGTTTCGTGATTTCATCACCATGCGAAAGTTTGTATAAATTCAATATAATATAAAATTTTTAAAAAGGCTTATTTTTAATAGGTGCAACACGTTAACTGGCTGAGCGGTGCTGGAAAAGCGTGCTAAGGAAAGTTTTGAAACGTCAGCTGTCCTTAAAACTCCTCGTTATTCACCAGGGAATATTTCAACTGTAAAAGCGCACACCGCTGGTATATGAATAGCTTTGAAGACATATTAAAGAAAACAAAAATCCACGCAACAGTGGGACTAAAAGTTGGCCTGAGCAGCTTCGTTTCAACTCTTACATGCAATTATTCCCGCACATGGAAGTGTTCTCTTGTAACGCCTGTTCGGTCCTGCACGTGCAGGGCTATTAAAAAAAAAGATTTAAAATAAGCTGTGAAATACAAGAAGACATATTACGCACATCACTGGATAAAAGGAGGTTCAATGAAAGGAAGTTCGTCCCACCTATGCTGGCTGCTCGTCAACATTAGAAACATTGAATTTTTTAAAGCTGTGAATTCAAGGACTAGGAACGAGTTGATTTCTGCGTGGGGAGAGGTGGACTGCCGTTTTTTTTATGTTTGTCGTGCAACACATGGTGCTCATTTTAAGTGCGGAGAGCGTCAGGCACCATACAACTCCTCCACCAAGTGATGTGCGGAAAGCGTGTTTGTCTTTTACAAACTCTTTGAAATAAAATAAAAACAATATGTCCCTCCTTTTCAAATAGCCCAGTACTTCTGAGCGAAACAAACTTTATATGATGCTGTTCAGGACGTAAATAGGCAATTAAATAGCCACTACTTTTATTTTATGAACACTTCAGCACTCTCGTCTTGTGTAACATTCGGCCTTGTGTAAAAAACAGAAAACTATCGAAGGTGTTTTTCTGGATTGTTTGAATGTATTGCATTTTTGGGATGTCTGGCAGAGCTCAAAGAAGCATGGGACCAACCTGCCTCCTCGCACGGCATTAGATTCATGAACAGAGACCCTGGTAATATGATTACTTCAGACATGATCATGATATTGGTCTTCAGAACAACTGAATATATCGCATTGCGAAGCAGGTTACACTGGCTTTAATGTATGACATAAAAAAATACTTTCCGCTATTGGTATGTGCACTGACAGCAGTGCAAAGATCCAGACTTGTGCTCGTTACTTGAAAAATGTAATGGATTACAATTACAAGTTACCGAGCCTCAAATATAATGGACTACCGTTACAAATTACTTGCGCTGATAAGTAACGGATTACTTCACTCGTAACGTTACGAATTACTTTCACGTTATATTTTCTGTACCCTTATCCAGAAAACAAAAGAAACAAATTTGATATTTTCTAAAAATGTTCTACAGCTCTACTTTTCATTTCTCACTCGCCCGTATTAAGGTAGTCCTTGTAAAAATAAAATATTGTGTTTATGACAAAGGTGCACTTCGTCCCCCTGTAAGCTGTCAAGGCATCAAAAGCTGCAACCACACCCGCCATCCCGCTAGATTACGGCCTTCGGAAATGATTTCTGGAATGGTATAGCTAGAGGGACGCATGCTGCAGTAGCAGCGTCTACCTCCGCTACGAGATTCGGAGCTAAAGAATCGATCTACAAAAACTCCCTTTTGAGTCGGGTGTTTGATTTAGCTATATTCTCAGTTTTAGAGCCTGAGGGACTAATAACGGGCTAGACGCCTTCGCTTACGTTTGTTGTACATTACTTGAGGAATGATATGAACAACCCCACAGGCACCACCAGTTCATTGAAATACTGTCCGAATTCAGCAAGGATCAAAGGCGAGCATTGTATATAAATAAATGTTCCTGCTTTCATTATTTTGCCCCTGTACTTGGGGTGTCTCACTTGTGATTCTCTCGTCATGGCCCAGATGATATTTAACATCTTGCTCGAGCAGCATGCAGCTTTTCTGCTTCGGCGGCTTTGTTTAAAAACAGAGATACAAAAACAAAATGAAATAGTATACATAACCTGCCAATTCATTCAGACCATCAGCAGCATTGATTGTGTGAGATGTAAGTGTATAATGATGCTCCTGCAAATGTGTACACATTTTTTTGTTGTTGTTGTTTTCATTTAGCAGCTGCGATTCATGCGTTGTCTGCCCTGTCAACTATCCCTGAAATGTTGGTTGAAGTTTCGCCCGCAGCCACGGGTCATACCTCAATAAAGGCACATATAAAAATCTACACTTCCTACGAAAAACGCGCGCAAAAATAATTCAGTAGAAATGAGCGCGCCCACAGCTAAGTCGTCACAGACCCCACAGGGCGAGCGGGGCGAGTAAGGGAAAAATTCTGTGCTCGCCGTGACGTTAACACGGGTTGCCGAAAGCGGGCGTCACGCAAACTTCTCGGAGCTCATAGTGACTGGCCATGCAAAAAATCGTGTTTTCGTTTCGGCTAGTCTCCCCTTCCTGATATTTTCTATATTGTTGAACTTGCTCTCTTTATGCTGCTGAATGTTCTGCTGGTATTGCTCCAGTTACTGTATTATGCTCATAGTTTTTAAAAAAGTAACGAGTAATTAAAGTAATCCGTTACCAATATTTTCTAACGAATGTACATTACAAATCACTTCTGAAAAAAAGTAACGTGGCAATTACAAAATTACTTGAGAAGGTAACAAATTACAAGTAGTCCGTTACATGTAACGGATTACTTCCCAAGTCTGCAAAGATCTAGTTTCCGCGTTTCGTTTCGAAGGGATTGGATATCTTTGTGGAATTGAACGGATCCGAGAAATTCGGCTTCTACCGGATTTATTCGAGCGATGGGCTAGGCGAGATTTTATTATAAATCATTTATTTATGTGTTTGAGTTCCGTCTATGACACATCGCCATATGCGCAAAGTTTATTCTATAAATTTTACGTATTGTGCCGAACAAATTAGTATTTTTTTGCTTTCAGTTGCTACTTTTTTGCAGAAAGCGTGGCGAGCAATTCTTGTTTTCATCATATTGCAAGTTTATTTTAAGGCATAGGCCTTACAGCGGTCATATTAAATTAGTCTCAAAGGCCCTTTTTTACCTTAGAAATTAAGATGCTTATTAAGTTGTCTCTCAGACACTATATTATATATGTATACTGCGTTGGTCATTGGTATTTGCGGACAGCTTGTTGAAAAAGGTATTGCTGCTGTTAACAAAGTATATTTGTTTGCCACATTTGGCTTTTATTAATAATATAACTCCTACGTTTTAAAAGTTCCGCTGACGGCACATGGCTACACGATTCTAGCAAAGTACCGTAAGCAAAGTTTGCAAAGCTGTACATTTGCTGTTCGAGTAGATTTCGGCGCACGAGAGAGAAAAAAAAAGGAGCCTTTCTGACGCCTACTGAACAATGCCTGCACACCCCGCCCCCCTCTCCCCCGTCCTCTCGGTGTCCCCGTTGTTGCCCAGCTCCGCCAAGGCACGTATTTGGCTAAGGGCAAGCCATGGCTCTGTTTTTGTTAGTACTTGTCACCTATAGTCGGTTGCAAGCTAAGAAAAAACCGGAAATGCCTCTCAGAGGAAAATGTAATCCTACGCCGAGAAACGCCAGCCAATCGTTTTCATGACGTCACGATTCCGTGCACCAATCGCGATCCTTTTGAAAAAAAAAAAAAGGCTCAACATGGCTGCTGGCCTT